TTTTCTTTCAAATCTCCCCTTACTTTCAAAATTTCTAAAATATTTTCTAAAACGAAGGAGGTTGGACATCCGTACATGATGAATACCGCGTGTGCCGCGATTGCTGCGTTGCTGCCTTGTCTCTCACTTCGGATTCGGCCAGACAAGTCTCTTCCTATAGAAAGCCTTTCCCTATAGACATCTTAAGAAACCCTCAGGAGATCAAAGAAAATGCCAGGGTTTAAAATTCAAATTGTAAAGTTAAGTGGCATGACCAGAAAATCCAACTCGAGTTTTGAGCTTGTGTAACTCGTCGACATCTCATGCCGAAAACCATAGGAGGAAAAATGCCCTAGGTGGGTGAGTTTGGTGAGCACAATGACTTGGAGGGATAGTTGATGTGCTTTCTGACCACGTGACGTCAAGACAAAATTTAAAATATCTGCTTTATCTTTGACGTTCACCTGCCCCTCGAAGGACATGGAACGCCAGAGTGTCTATTTCTTTGCCACTCACATGTCCCCCGGAAGGACAGGGAGTGCCAAAGAGGGGCAACTGCAGATGCCCCATTTAAATTTGGCAAATTATGTGGCTTTCTGATTAGGGCCACACTTAACTTGTGATCGGGAACCAGTTTGCTTGCCTGGAACCCTATAGAAACCCTGTTTTGACCCAGATTTCTGTAAATGCCCTGTTTTACCAAAAAACTCATTAAAAATAGTAAAAAACGTTGTTTAGGCCCAAATTTTCTCTGAGAGCTTCACAAGAGGTTGAGGAGCACACCAGAAGTAAAAATCTTAATATTGAAAAAAATTGGTGTGTGTGACACAGAGCATGCCGCCCAGGCGACACGGAGCATGCCGCCCAGGCGACACGACCCATGCCGCCCAGCTTTAGGCAATACGGGGTGTGCTACCCAGGAGACACGACCCGTGCCACCCAAATCTAAGACCTCTAAAATGCGTTTTTAACTGAGCTTTTTGGTTGGTTATGGGAAGATATTCTTCCCAACAAATTTTCCCCTCCTTTTAGCTTCTTTTGGGGACCATTTAAAGGGGGGGGGGGGGGGACGGGAGAGAGAAACAGAAGGAAGCTGGAGATGAGAGAAAAATAAGAGAGAGATTGAAACCTGACATAGAGACAAAAATCCTAAAGTGTTGTACGAGATAGAGATCTGAGAGAAAAACTTAGAGAGAAAACCCTATCTAACCTAAGCCTTAGCCCCTTGAGAGAAACTCCAGGTCTACCCTTAGGACACAAACCAGATCTACGAGAGACTTGTTGATCGACATCTGGATTAGATGGGCAAGAGGAACCGGTTCTGATACGAGTGAGCCCCAGAAGGCTAGGGAGTCCTGGGCCATCCGGCCCGGTTTGGTATCATTCTTGGCCCTCTCTCTTTCTTCATTTCCTTACTACTTTATTTTACTTTGATTTGTTTTTTATTACTTTTCTTTAAAAATCATATATTTGATATCTTGGATCATGCTGGCTTCGCCATAGATCTGAGAGCAGATCTGCTTGTTTTTGGGCAGATCTGACCTCAGATCTGAATTCGATTTGTCCCACCTTATCTACCATTACTCTTCATTTATTTTTTATCAGTTTAACGTGTCAGATCTGAGGGATCTACATCCATAGATCACTTTGATTTTGCGTTTTAAACAGATATATAATATATGTAATGTTTATTCGGATGAGATTCTGTCTAATTTATCCACATATGCGTTAGGGATGGATTATGAAGTTTTGAGATGCATAATATTAAAAGGTTATTGAAATTTTAATTTTTGTAGATATGATTGAAATTTCGGTGTTTAGTGTATGAGGTGGTGTACTTGCAAAAGATGATGTAATGGTAGATCATATAGCCCCTATTATTTTTTAAGGCTGTCAGGGGCAACGGTCATAAGGGAAATTTCAAAACAAAAATTATCAATTTTAAGAATTATTCATCTATTTTTTTAAGTAAATATAATACTATATGAATTGAAAAGTTGAAATATGTATTTACTTTAAATAAGCACTTTCTGAACGTCATTAGCGCTTTTTATAGTAATTTTTAATTAAAATTTACATTGTATTTCTAAATTACGAAAGAACAAGAGAAAAACTAAAAATTTATTGTTTATAAGGAGTTTTAATTTAACATATTACATGTGCAGTACGTGAGTGAAGAGTTTGAAAAATGATTACATTAGTAGAACACCAAAGTTATAGATAACATAGCATAATATAATATTAGCCTATGAATTTATTTCAATATATTATAATTTTTATTTATTCTTTCATTATTTTTAGGAAATTTTGAATTTAACTACATAATATAATATAATATAAGATTATACTAAGTTTTTAATCTCATGTTTCAGTAATATAAAATAATATATATGATGTAATAGGTAATATATAATATATACTATATAATATTATATATAATACATTAAATTATTGTATAAGTAGGTTTTGTCTTCTTCCCTATTAAGATACTAAAAACTTTACATTATCAACTATTTTTGTTTTCTTCTCTACGACATTTTTGAAACTTGATAAAATTTACTACTGAATTTTCAGAGTTTTCGATGGTGGCTCTAAAATCAATTTTCAACACCGACAATAAAATTTAAAACTAAAAAAATTATACAGATCTTGTGGATCTTTGAAGGGTTATATTTAAGGTGAAATAGACAGTCTAAACATTTGTTAAAATATCATTTTTAGAGTTTGAAATTTTTTTTTTTTCCAAAAATATAGTATTCAAGTTGATCCATGTAACCATTTTACCGTACTTAAACAACAATTTTCAGTTAATTCTTAGGTGAGGATTTTCTTATTTAAAAAGCTGCAGTCCTCTCAAATCATTTTACTTATGATTTAGCCGAAATTTAAATTTTTTATAACGTTTTTACAGCAAATTGACAAATAACGTTTACAAAAGAGCATGAAGCTTATTGCCGCTACAAGAGGTATTCTAAAAGTATATATAGGGGCAAAAGGTCGTAAGTGGCATAAGGGGTCTACATTGTACCCATCTCCTCTATTCACACATGTAGAGTTTGTGTGGAGCAAAGTAACACGTGGGAAATTAAAAGACAGCTAACATATTTCTGCCGATGCCTTGCAACCATGAAATAGTACACCCGAGGTACTTTGAAAATGTAAGGGAGGATGGATAAATATTTTAATGCCGAGGGACCATCTTAAAAAAAGGTTCAATTAAAATATTCTGCTGGACGGAAATTAAGGCATTGGTACACCCGAGGGACCTTGAAAATATAAGGGAGAATGGAAATATATTTAAAAGTTCAATTAAAATATAAATATTTATGCGGGACGAGGAATTGGGACTTTTTAAGGAACTTAGCGCTCAGCGTTTGATAACAGCGAAATGGGGTATTAAGTGGAGAAAGTATCTCACCTTGTGAGCGTGTTTGATAGAAAAATAAAAAATAAAAAAATAAAAAAATGGGAACGCCCTTTTCCTCCGTTTACCTTGCACCTTCAATATCCCAACACTGAACGGCAAACTTTCACCCCTCGAAGCGCTCTCTCTCGCCGCGCTTGTGAGCTTCCTTCCCTTCTCTGTCCCATCCGAGCTTCTGTTCTCTCTCCTCCCTTCTTTGTTCTCATTCCGCGAGCATTCCTCGAGGAAGAGAAAGCCCGTGAAGCCCGTGAAAACCTAGGTGAATAACAGGAAGACGCCCCCTCGCTCCATCGCCATTTTACAGAGCTTGAAGAGATTTAAGCAATTGAGTTGTTATTTTTTTACTGTTTATTATGATGATAAACCCTAAAGGAGTGATTTAATTTGTTTGTTGCTATTGTGATAAACCCTAAATATGTGAGTTAACCTAATAATCCCTAAATCAGTTCGTTAAATTTTTGTTTGCTATTCGTTCTAATGAACTCCAAATCAATGAGTTATTATTATTATTATTTTTTTACTGCTATTGTTTGCTGATAAATCCGAAATATTTGAATTCACTCACCTAAATCATCTAAATCACCCAAATCAGTGAGTTTGAATTTCGTTTGTTGTTATTCTATATACTATTATTGATAAATTAGGGTTTTAAGAAATTAGGGTATTCTATATACTATTATTGATAAATTAGGGTTTTAAGAAATTAGGTTTTCTGGTGTGTTTGGTGGATCTTTCAGGCGTGGATGTAGTTGTAATTATCATATATTTCTTATTGGTTTTATTGTTTTGATGTTTGTTGGTGGTTGATCACGGTCTGCATTGATCTGGTTTTATTGGAGTTATTTTTACAGTAGATTGGGATTATATTTAGTTATTGATACATATTAAAAAATTTATATTGTTTTGTATTGGTTGTTTTTTCGTATTGGTTGTTTTTTCAATCTGATGCTTGCATATATTTCAACTGGATGGAAGTATTAATTTATTAGCCTTTTTTTTTTTTTGCTTATTGTCTTCTTTAATCCTCGGATTTTTATTTGTTTTTTGTTGCATCCATATATTTTATTTTGATTTTCAATAGTTTTAGGCATGTTCTTCGCTTGGAACTGGTCCCCCAGTTGATGTTATAGTCTATTACTGTACTTTATATCATGATTTAGGTTTCTATATGTATTTTTTGTGCATTTTAATGGCATGTTAAGAGTGGCTTTATTATTTTAATTTATGTTTTTGTTCTGTAAGAAATCAGGGTGTTTGTATGGATTCTCTAATATTATGCGGCTGGATCTTACAGAAAATTGTTATTCCTTGGCACTGTTTGTTGTGTGATTGCATCTAATAAAAAAATTTCTTTCTTGAAAATAGAAAATTTATTTTCTTCTCTTTTATCTGTTTGAGTAGTTAAGATAAGAATTTTTTTCTCTTATCTTTTATAAGTCTGCCATGGATTTATTCAGAGGTTTGCATCTCTTTGCTTGTTATTAACAGAGAGAGAGAGAGAGCCATCTTTGACAATTGTTAGCAATAGAGGATGAAAATTTTTAGGGTTCTTCCAAGACTTCTGAGGAGTGGTGTTGCTTCACAGTCACGAAACCTCTTATCTCAGAGACATGCTTTCCTCTGTGGAGGTCATGTGATTCCGCAACTCGAACGACCTCTATACAAGGTTAGTCATGTTTCTCTTCTCTCTCTAAAGTTGATTAATGAGCAAGTTCGGTTTTGGAATGGTATTATTTGAGGATGTGTGGTTTCCTAATCCATCTTTGAGATGAGTTTTTATTTCTGATGGTATTTTGTAAAGCTAGATCTTTTGCAACTTTGATATGGGTATTGGTTTTTGATATTTTGTTGTTTGAAAAAGCTAGTGTCGTCATCAATCTTTGGTACTGTTCTTGATTATTGAATGGTTTTATTTGAAGAATTGGGATTTGTATGACTTTTTGAGGCAGTTCTTGATTCTCAAAATAGTGTTATTTGAAAAGCTTTGGTTTTTTATTTATCCTGAGGTCTGTTTTGGTTCCTGCAATTGTGTTGTTTGAAGTGCTAGGGTGCGATGTTTCATAATCTATGCTATGAGCTTTGGTTGTTGTAAGTAATTTTATTTGCAGATTGGGTGCTTTTATTTTCTAAATGAGATGAGTTTTCTATAGATGACAATCGATTAAAATTTCGTAATACGTTTATGCCTCACTTTTGAGACAGAAAAGTGTCATTTTGATATCTCAATGCATCATTATGGACCCAAAAAAAAGTCTATGCATCCGTAGAATGAACAAGACAAGAAGCGAGATCCTTAAGTCTATGGGAGCGAGATCCGATGTCAAAAGGTTCGATGTTTTGACTAGCAGGAATCTAAGCTCCATTATACAAAAAAAATGAGGTTGTAAGTAGAGCTAGTAGGAGTTCCCTTGGTTAAGGAATCGAGGTTTAAGTATGTTATATAACGGGGTCCCATCATATTCGGAACAAGGCCCATCTTTTGAGGAGTCGTGATCTCTGAGGTACGCAAGTGCCATTTACTAGGGATCCCATATCAAGTGCCCCCCACCCTTAACAAACAATTTATTTATTTTTGTGTGAATAACAACTACATCTTCGGTCTATGACACAAGTTTGGCTATTACCATTCCCTCTGAGTCCCCGACAACCCAGAAACCTATTGCCCAAGAGTCATCTTCTTCGAATGTAGTCTCCTCTGCTTCCATTGTTTCCCAAAGGCTGGCTTTCCGAAGGGGCAAGAGGACAAGATGAATTACTTTCTCTCTCTCTCTCTCTCTCTGTGATTGATGTAAAAGAAGCTTTTTAAAGCTTGAAATGGAAGCATATATTCTCATCTCACGACTGCAATCAGATTTAAACTCTAAAACAATAGGACATCATAAATATAAATTTTTTTTGAGAAATATATCATAGTTGCGGATATCTTGGTCAAGGGTGGCATTCCCCTCTTGGAATCTTGTTCCGGTGATCCGGGAGCTGGAGCCCGAGCGGTACTCACTTCCTGCCTTTTGGGGATCTTGATCCCTACATATTGGGATCTCGCTTCCTAATATAAAAGGATCTCGATCCTTGACTGCAAATGATCTTGATCCCTATCGATGGGGGATCATGACTCCTCAAAAGATGGGCCTCGTTTCGAATATGATGGGATCTTGGTCCCCTAGAAATTCTTTTGAATTTTTTCCTCCCCATCTGTCCCTGGTGAAAAATGAAAACCTATCGACTTTGCTGTCTCACTTTGTGTTAATCATCCTTGATCTATATAGTTACATATGAAAGCTAATCCTACTAGGAACTGCAACTGCCTATCAAGATTTTGCCTCTTGGAACTTGAATAATCAAGACAACTCTCCTACAATATATACACCTATACAACAAAGAATATAAGAAAATCATATATGCAATAGCTCTCTACATTGTAGGTGTAATTATCTCCGTTTCATAAATAACACAGATTACGTAATGCTCCACAGATATTAAGTTCCACCACCAACCTCCAAAACTTGAACGAAACAATGATTAGCATAAGTAATCAACAATTCAACATTAACAAAATTTTGATAAGCAATGATAGAAGAGAACTTCAAAATATTACAACAATTCACGTCAGAATAATAATATATTAGATTAAAAATAGTCAATAGCGTCCCCAATTATCACCTAAGCAGGGCAATGACACACAATTTATCACTTTATCGATAACAAGTGCATGATTATTTGATAATGAGATCTTTCCTCCTTGATAATTGTATTAATAATTTATTGCTAGAGAATATGTAAGAATTGTTGTAGTTCCAGTGTTTTAAAATGCAGCCGCATCATGCGGGATGCGGTGGGCACCGCATCTGCACAGACCGCATATGTGCTTTTGAGTTATGCGGCCGCATCAGAGCCACATCTGGCTGCATCGTTTTTGCAAAACAATTTCGATTGTGCCCCTCGGGGAGGGGCAAAATGGTCTTTTTGACCATAAAAAATTGGGTGAAACAGTTTGGGAGGGTATTAAACCTCCTAAACGATCATTTACAGCCACTTTTGTGGCTTTTTTGGGATCAAATCGAGCAAAAAAAAATTTAGGCGAAAATTATTTTTCATTTAGATCTTGGATTTGGGGATTGTTTGATGCTTGGATATTGATTAGAACCTTTTGATTGTTTATTTGGGGAAGTTTAGGTGAATTTGTGACAAGAAATCGAGGGTTTCAGAGGCCGTGAAGAAATTGAGCACTAAAATTGGGGATAGTGGATACAGAATCTCCGACAGCTAATAATTTTGGAGTTAATCATTAACCTAAAATGCCTACTATCACATATATCACCTCTATATTTTTTTCTATGCATTAACCTAATTTTTTAGATTTTTTAAATTTTTTTTTACATTTATGGACCGCATCGTCGCAATGCACCCGCATCTGGACCGCTTCGAGCTGCATCGTCGCATCGCCCCCCCCACCGCTTTTGGCCGCTTCCCGCATTTTAAAACACTGTGTAGTTTAGAAACTCCTCACTAATATCGCAAATCAAAATTCCAACCTGGTAGTGCTTATTTGACAAAGCTTGAGTAGTTCGCATCTAATAGAGATCAGTGTGCATGAGCTCATAAGCAACGCAAGTTGCAAACATCATCAAGGGACTCCGAGGGGGGAGGAGGAAGTGAGGAACTCTGTAGTTGACAATGGTTTTCATGATAAACATTGAATACCACCCTTTTCCTTGCATAACAATCCAGTGTCAGCAGCCAAAACCCAGCTTGGGACAATCATATTGCCAATGCATCTTGAGACCCAAGGATAGAATGATATAGGCCCACCACAAACCCTCTTTCCCTTTGTCTCTCTAAAGACACTCTCCCTTCACAAATCTCTATGAAATGAGGCAGCCCACCATTTTCCTCCACCAAACCCTCTTTTCCTCTCTGTCTAAAAACACTCTCCTTGCACAAACCCCTTTGGGAAGAAGAAGGAAATATGAACCATCTTCTCTCGCTAATTCGACCCATATATCTCTCTCTTCTCAAACCATTTATGGAATCTCTGCTAAGATGTTATGAGAATCCATAAAAAACCGGAAATGAGGAGCATGTACCAAATTCCAGCTGCAAAGCCATCATTTCTATAATATGAGAAACGAATCAAATGCAAAAACCCCATTATCCAAGACCCAAGAGCCCTTCCATTAAGGGCTGACTGCTGACAACCCAAAAGAATGCAAAACCAGTGTTGCATCTTTTTGAAAGTGATGCAAACTTGCATCTCTTTGAAAGTGGCGATGAAAACCATAGAGAAGAGCAGATTCTTCTTAAGAATGTGCGGTCCTTTGTATTGGTTCTTCCAATGAACTCGTGCTTGGAACTCTTGTTTGGAAAATCTTGGAGAGAGAGAGAGAGCTGGATCCTCTAATGAACTCTTGCTTAGATAATTTGACAGAGTGAGAGAGAGAGAGAGTAGAGGGGCTGTTTCCACTAAGGAATTCTTGTCTTGGAAAGGAGAGAGGGAGAGAAAGTGGAGGGGCAAGTGTAGATTAGGGAAGAAAAGATTGGGAGATGAGACCGTGGCAATATGAAAGCGGAGAGAGCAGTACGGATAAGAGAGAGAAAAAGAGAGGGTTTTATCTTTTTTGGTGTGATATAAACAAAGGGAAAGTAGTCACCAAAGAAAATCCTTGATGGGCTGTCCAAGTTAGTGGGCTGTTAGATTTTTTTCTTTGTGTGATTGACGGTTTATAAGTTAGTTTGATACACACCAACACCGTGTATCTATAAATCATAGGATCATTCCCCTATTTATACATGGAAGACAATTAATTAATTACAAGTTACAACCATTTGATGTGAAATTTGATAAATTGAAGTTTGAGCTTGGTCAATAGAATAAATCCAGCCATCTAATTTCGTATTCAATGGTCAAGATTAATTGTGACCACCTTGTACCAAAGATAAATGGTCTCATTGTATACTTTTCTTTTTTTATTTGGATTATGTTCTTGTACTACGAGGAGAGAAAACATGTTATTGTATAATAAAATTTGATACGCTCTCCAGAGTCCAGCCTAAATATGATGTGACATGAAGTCTATAGCTTGAATAGCAAACATTTATGGCATGGAGTATGGTGCGTGTGTAGCAACAATATGAACGTGTGTAGCAACAATATGAATGTGTTATATTACACATGCAACAATACATACAAAGTCTAGCCTAAACCCTAAATATGTTATGACAACAAGTATATTGTGTGCAGAACAAATATTTAAACATAACATGTTTAAGCAAGTACTATACTGCTTGTACAACAATACGAGTCTAACCCAACCATAAACTATAAACCTTAAACCCTAGTCCCTAATTGTATTGCTTGTTTGCAATCATAGTATCATACTAGTATAGTCTATTTTAATAACATGTTTAAGCATGTACCATATTGCTTGTGCAGCAATACGAGTATAACCCAACCCTAAACCATATACCTTAAACCCTAATCCCTAAGGGGCCGTTTGGGTACATGACAATCGATTACAAGGAAATATGACATTTCCACAGTTTGGGTACACTTTAGGGGCTATTTGGGTACGTGGAAAATCTATTACGTGATGACATTTACACTGTTTGGGTACACTTTAATAGTAAGGAAATGGAAAGGCATTACCCAAGATTTTCCCAAAAATCACG